CAGGTGCTTGGGGTGGAGAAATGGCACCTGCAGAGATGTGGAGGGAAGAACACAGGGTCCCTGTGGAGCTGCAGCAAACTTGGCCTGAAGCTGCAGAGGACCAGTGGGGTGAGGAGGTGGGGGGAAGGACAGGCAGGAGACAGGCCAGCAGATGAGGGCACATAGGCTCCCAGGGGAAGGGACTTGCCTGGATCCAGACCACCCAGCCTCTGGCCTTACCCTCCCCTGGGTGTAGACCCCTGGAAAGCAGAGATGTTTCAGAGGTCTCCATGTTCCCAGCTCCCAGGCCGCCAACCGAGGAACTCAAAGAGGAGGAGCTGGCCTGCTGCAGAGTACCATGATGGCGCCTGGGACCCTCTGGAGGCCTGATGGCAGTGACCACCGGACACAGCCTCTCCAGCACTTGGTGGGGCAGACATCAAAGCCTATGCCACAGGCTGGGTCTGGCTGCCTGAAGTAGGAGATCCAGGTGGATTTACTGCTGGTGTGTTGTACTGTGAGGCATTTTTGAGGGTGCTGGTGCCATAGGGACAACATAGCTGGCTTTTTCAAATGCCACTATTTTAATACCATCCTTGCCCATCATTTGGGAGGTGAGATATGAGCCCCAAATCACAGACTCACAGGACATCACAGAAGACACCCCACACGGCAACAGCTCCATGTTTTCTCCACGTGAATGCACTGTTTTATGGGTGACCTTTTGCCTCCTCTGGTTGAGACCAATCAGTGGCTCATCAAGCCAGTGACCTCTTTTTTGTCCCCTAGAAATACAGCTGGACTTTGTTTCCCAGCCTCCCTTGCAATTAGCTGTGGTCATGTGACTGAGTCTAACCAATGGCCCAGGAAAATCTCCCTTCCAAGATTTTCTCTTCTTTCCCTATTTTCCAGCGAAATTCAGAAGAATCTGAGGTCCTGGAAGACCACTAGACAGAATTCCCACCTGGAGGAGAGCTGCCTATTAAGTCAGGAACATTGGTTTAGACTTTACATCATGGAGTTATAAATATCTATTGTGCTAAGCCACTTTTATTTGGGGGGTTATTTGTTACAGCACCTAGCATTACCCTAATACACCTCTCTATTTGAAAGATTTTGTCTACTAGAAACCATAATTATTTTTTCAAAATGAATTCTTTTTTCCATTGTATCAGTTAAAGACATCTGTAACTTCAATGTAAATAGGCATTTTTTGGAATAGCTAGAAAGACTTTATAATAGCTTTCACAACTGTCTTCATCAAGTCTTAAGGTTTGGGGCACCCAAGATGGGAATGGCTGGTCCGAGAGATTATAGAAAGTGGAAATCCAGAGCCAGGAGGGGTGTGTGATTTGCCTGGGATCACACACCTGTGTGGCTGAGTCAGGGCCACATTCTGTTGGGCTCAGGTAGAGGTGGGCTGTGTCTCAATCTGCTTGAGCTGTCATAACAAAATACACAGACTGGGTGGCTTCAACAACAGATGTTTATTTCTCATAGTTTTGGAGGCTGTGCCAGCATGGTTGGGTTTGGTGATGGTGCTCTTCCTGGCTTGCAGAGGGCTGCCGCCTTGCTGGGTCTTCATGTGGCAGAGAGAAGGACAGAGCTCCCTGGTGTCTCCTCTTATATGGACACAAAATCCAGCATGAGGGTCCCTTCCTCATGACCTTATCTAAACTGAATCACCTCCCAAATTCTATTGCATTGTGGGTGAGGGCTTCACCATATGAACTGGGGAGTCACCATTCAGTCATTAGTAGATTGTGTCTGCATTCTCTCAAACTACTGGTTTTTTTCCTTCTCTATTTTTGTCCAGAAGTTTTTGCTACAAGGAATAGCTTTCAACTTTGAAATAATGAATCAACAATGTATGTCTCAGTCTCTCGTGTCATGTTCTGTTTTAATACACATTTCAGAATCTACACAGCCAATCTCTTACTGTTCGACATTTAGTTTCTCTGTTTTTGAAAAGCAACAGGGCTTCTGGGGAGCATTTTGCATTTTGGAGTCCTTCAGCTTTATTTCCTATCAGTGTGCTTTTGCAGAAACTGCTTCCTGTTGAATAAATTTTCTAAGGTTTTGGCAAGCCCCTGATCTTGGTCTCTAAAGTTAGATGCTGTGTTTGACGAGCATGAAAGCAATATTAGAGAGAGAGAGAGAAGGTCTCAGCCAGGGCAGAGGAAGTCTGTCCTACCCTCCCCACCCTCCCAGCCACCCCCGGGGTGACCCAAAGAAAGAATGGCCTGGAACCCTGCAGGGTATGACAGCACCCCGGTAACCCCTGAATGGGGTTACCAGGAAGTGACCAGAATTGCTTTCAGTGATGAGGAATATTCAAGACCAGTCCATTGGTGACTTCACATGCCATGACTTGAAGCTTGAAAATAATTTGATTTTCTTAGCTTAAAAATCAGTTACAAAGGTAAAAAGACACTCACTGTTCTCTTAAAACATTTAGAATTTACCACCTCTACTTTTAGTTACTTTCTCCTTCCCCAAAATTGAGAGAATGCTAATGTCTTATTGTGGTAGCTAATTATCTCTCTTTCTCTCACATACACACTCTCATAGGTATGTATATATATTTCACACATGTGGACATATATATATCCATAGGAAATAATTGATGGTTTGTAAGTGTGTTTATATAAATCGTATCACACTGTATCAATCTAAAATTTACGTTTTTTTCAGAAGCTATTTGTGTTACTGTGGACAGATCTAACTTGTTCTTCTTAACGCCTTCAGCATGCATCATCTGGATAGCTTTAGAAATCTGTTAAAATGCACAGAGGTCCCCAGGGGGAAGGCCTTAGAAATCAAAGTGGAGTGATCTCCCCGTTTTTCTGAATTGCCCTCTACTTGGGGCCAGAGATACCTGAACACCACTGGGATTTGAAGGTGCAAAAGCTCAACAAGGTTCAGCAGAACGTGCAGGACAGGACCCATCCCAGGTGACAGAGAGGAGTGTCTGGATAAGTCTCAATGCACTCAAAATAACACAAATCTTAAGCAGCCACAGGAGTGAGGACCACCAGTTACTGAAGAACCACCATGCAGAGCACAGCCTCATTCAGAGTCTCATCACCAGTTTTTGCATGGGAATACTGTGTTCCTATTTCAAAGATAAGGAGGCAGAGAACACAAACGTGGTCAATAGCTATTGGTCCAACAATACAGTTACTGCATGGTGGAGCTGGGACTCACCCAAGTTCCTTCTGCTTTCAAACCCCAGGGTGTGAGAGTAGGGCAGCAGTGGTCTGCTGGTTGTCACCTTTTATTTTTAAATTCCATGGAGCACAAAGGAGTGGCAGGGCAGAGGGTGGCATCATAACACACTGAGATCAGATGTGGCAGTGAACAATGACCTGGGTGCCGCTCAGGGCTGGGATTGTCTCAGCCACTGTGCTGGTTGAGAGAACTCCCTCCTCCTCCATTAGAACCTGGCCGTTCCAGTTCCCCAGACTCAGCCCCAAAGCCTCCACCAGTTAGAACGTCCCATGAGGTACAAGGGGAGTACAAGACACATCCCCACTGAGAAAATTCAGGAGTTCAGACACCATTGACTTTTATGTTCCTAAATCAGAGGCCTTCAAGGTTAGCCCTACTATAAAATCACTCTCTCTCATTTGCATTCCAGATTGTCTGCTCGAGTGGGAGATATGGAGGCAAAGCCACAGCTTGCCATGTGAAAATAACACGTAACCACCCCTGCACCTGCACGGGCTGCTCTTGGGGGTCGGAATGGAAAACTTGACCATAGTCTACAGGCTCTGGAGTTAATAGGAGGAATCTTCTGCACTCCTTCTGGTCTTACTGCCCAAGTCGAGCCTAGAGGCCCTTAGGTAGAGTCACCAGCTTTCTGTTGCTCTGCCACGTTGGCCAGCACGTTTTACATTTGACTCCTCAATGCCTACTGCTAGGGAGAATCCACCTGGAATTCAGATTTTTCCTTCTAAATGCCAGAAGATCTGATCATGCCAAGCCCAGATTCCATCCTGGCAATGACCAGAGCCCATGTTCTCTGTGGGCAAGTAAGTCCCTGAGAGTCTCCGTTTCTTTCTCTCCAAGGCAGGAGGCCAAGGGTCACTCACACTTTATCTTCTCCCACCTGGCCTGCTTCCCTCGCTGGAATAAGAGTTGATGTGTTGATATATAAATGTATGCAGTATGTCATCACCTGCCACCCTGGAAGACCTTGGGTTGGAGTCTGATCCTTCCTGTGAAGTGTTTGTGGTGGACATTCAGCCACAGAGCTCCTACTGGCAAGATGGGGCCTCGGTGCAAAAGACAGAAGGGCCCCCAGGGGGTAGCAGACAGTTCACAGGTGCCCCCCACCCGGGGCAATGAATTCCCCAGGCTGTGCTGGGCTCAGCCTCATTCTCCTTGGCAGTCCCTGTTTGTGCTACCACGGATGAGCCCAGGAGCCCGACAGCAAGGACATCACCCACCGTTATCTGGCTCATCCAATTCGATGCCGTGGAACCTGGGCACCTGCCAGCAGTGACACATGCCTGAGGTCCTCCTGCAGGCCAGGTTTCCTGCCAGCGCCAGGAGCCTGGAGTGGGTGTCGGCTAGGGTTTCCTCTGTCCTTGTTCCTACCCCCGGCTCCCAGACCATCCATCAGCCCACAGCTCACCTGTGAAACCCAAGGCTGGGAACTGTGGCGCTATTCTGTTACAAAATCAAGATTTATCGGAACATGACAGGCCTGGAGGGTTTTATGACATGCATGGCGCCAGTCCCTCCTCTTGACCTATTTGTCCCCGGTGGGGCAGGGCGTTTTCTGACTGCCGACACCACTCCATCTGCTCCTGGACTCCCAGCATTTTGACAGTCAGGACAAAATGTCCAGCCTGGGCCAGGCCCCTTGGGCTGGATTATCACTTCGGCAGTGAGCGCTTGGCCCCTTCCCCTTGGAAAAAGACCTCAAGCCCTGCTCCCCCCAACCCTGGCTCGGCCTGGTGTGAATGAAATTCAAATCGAGCTCTGACAGCCCCATGAATTGTCTGTTTTCCAAACTGCCTCCCGCTCTTTCATCTTCACGGCAGAAACAGTGAAATAATCCGTTCCCATCTCTACAAAGGCCCCACCACACCCCAGTTGCCTGTGTCTCAAGAGAAACGTGGTGTGGGGACCATTTGGAGCCTCTTTAAAAACAACGTCACCACATCCTGAGACCGCCTGGGAATTGCCGTCCAGCAAGGTAGGGAGGGACTCGGGGGGTGACAAGGACACTGGGCCAGCTCTTCTAATGATTTAAAGAGTTAAGTCGTGTTTACATGAAATGGAACCCATCAGGAAATTGGAAGCTCTCGGCCTCACTGTGAGCTCTGCCTAGTCCAATGCTGTTCCCCCGCTGCGTGTCCACCCTGGGCAGGGTTGCTTTCTGTTTATTCAGTGTGCTCCCTTCTTTCTCAGCCTGACTCCTGGCTCTCGGATGGCGGAGCTGAGAGATGTTTGATGTTCAGAAAAGGAGGCTGAAAAGGGCTTTTCTTGGGTGGGTAGAAGAGGCAGCACCCCTGAAGGTTGCTTCTGGCTGAGAAGGGTCGCAGCCAGAGGGTGATGCCAGCCGCTGTGTGCTGAGACCAGGGTGGGGAGTGTGTGGGGGGCGAGGAATAATGCCAGCCATTGATATTCCTGGCAGCTCGCGGTGCCATGGCCTGGGCTCATCATTTTCGGAAGCCAGTGCAGGGGGGACTGTGTCATTCTGGTTTTGCTGATGAGGCTGCTGTGCCACTGACTCACTCAGTGTAAAAAAGATGGCCTGCAGCAGGGCTGGGGAGGGAATCCAGCTGATGCCAACCTTGTTCCCAGGAGGAAATAGCTCTGGCCTGCTGATGACAAGATAGTCTTCAATTGCCCTGGTATCATTCAATTGTCACGTCTGTACGTTGGGTTTATGAAATCTACCTCACAGGGTTTTCAGTCTCAAATTGGAGTTGACATATTGATAAATTTATTCGGTATGCAGTGGGCACTCAATAGTTGTTCACGGACTCCCATTGGTTGTGAGCCTTGGAGTCAAAGGAACTGGGCTAGAATCCCTGGTTCTGCCCTTAACAGTTCAATCACCTCTGGCAAGTCCAGCCAACCCCTGAACTTCACGTCACCCCTGTGAGTCTTGGGGTCACACCTGCCCAATCGGGAGAGACTCACAGCACCCACCTCACGTTCACGAGGGCTCTCACAAGACGCTGCAGGTAACGTGCTTGGTGAGATGTGCAGTAAGGAGCCGCTAGATGTTTGCCCCATGGGGAGAGCCAACAGGGGGTCGTCATTGCTGCCATTTCCCAGGTCTCTAACTGCACCTCTGGAGAGCCCAGGGGTCAGGTGAGCCAGAGGCCAGATCTTAGGCCTTACCTGGGCGTGGGCTGTTCCCTTCCTGTATGTGCAGATGCTTCCATGGGCCCAATCACACCATGGCTGTAGTCTGTAGCCTGTGGGCCCCTGTGAGCTGCGGCAGCCTTTGCTGGCCTGCATGGCCTGCATACTTGTGTTTGGAAATGAGAAGTAAGAAAAGCTCGCCCAGCCAGCCTGGCATGATTTCATCCCCAGTACACCCTGAAGCCCCCACCAGGAGACCGGCAGGATGCCAGGGTCTATAGAAGTTCACAAAGCTGAACTGGCTGTGACCTGAGCTTCGACTCCAAGGGTATGCCAGGCTGGCTCCTTCTAAATGGGAAGCTCTTCACCAGGCCCTGCAACCCCGAGGAGACAGCAGAGCTCCGAGGTGTGGCTGACATCACCTCCATGGGCCCCAAGATGAGAAGGGTGTGTAGAAAGACTCACATGGAGGTCATAGCAGCTTGAATGGAGCCCACCTGCACGCCTCCCCATCCCGCACTGAGGCCACCTGCGCTTCTGCCCATTCTACACTGAGCTCCACCTCGCCCCTGCCCGTCCCTCAATGTGCAGTAAGGAGCCGCTGATGTTTGCCCCATGGGGAGAGCCAACAGAGCATTGTCATTGCTGAGGGGCGCCACCTAGGCGCCTGCCTATCCGACAGTGAGCACCACCTGCGTGCCTGCCTTTCACTCAGTGAGCACCACCTGCGTGCCTGCCTTTCACTCAATGAGCACCACCTGCGTGCCTGCCTTTCCCTCAATGAGCACCACCTGCATGCCTGCCTTTCCCTCAATGAGCACCACCTGCATGCCTGCCTTTCACTCAGTGAGCACCACCTGCGTGCCTGCCTTTCCCTCAATGAGCACCACCTGCGTGCCTGCCTTTCACTCAGTGAGCACCACCTGCATGCCTGCCTGCCTGTCCTCTAGGCTGTTCGGTGACCACCCACACCTGGATGTGGGCGGTGCTGCTGAAAGGCCATAGAGTCATGGGCATAGCCGCTCTGGAGGACAGTCCAAAAGTTTCCCACAAAACTGAGCATGCTCTTGCTGCCCGCTCCAGCAGTCATGATCCTTGGTATTTACCCAAAGGAGTTGTAAACCTCTGTCCACACAAAAACCTGCATGCAGATGTATCAGTTTTATTCTAATTTTCAAAACCCAGAGGCAACCCAGATCTCCTTCAGCACCAAATGGATAAATACGCAGTGGGAGGTGGCTGTGGAATATTATTCAGCAGCAAAAGGAAATGAGCTGCCAGGCCTTGGGAGGACACAGAGAAGCCTTAAATGCCCATTGCTCAGTGAAAGAAGCCCATCGGAAAAGGCCACAGGCCGTTGGATCATCTAGATGACATTCTGAAAAAGGCAAAGCTGTGGAGATAGTGAAAGCATTTGTGGTTTCCAGGGGTGAGGGAGAGAGAGATAAGTAGGTCAAGGGCATTTTTAGGGCAGAGAAACTTGGGGTATGATAGTGGAATTGTGGGGTCAGGTCATTATGCAATTGTCCAAACTCATAGCATGTCCAATGCCAAGAGTGAGCTACTATGGACTTAATGATAATCCATCAATATTGGTTCATTGTAACAAATGTATCACATGATGTTACTAGTAGTGGAAACTGTGTGTGCAGGAGAGAATGGAAACTCTGTACTTTCTGCTCAATTTCTGTAAGCCCAAAACTACTCTAAAAATTCCATGAATTTAAAAAATAAGAAGGACACAAACAGTATGTGAACCCTGGAGCCAGACCTTCCCAGTGCGAGCCCCGCCTTCACCACCAAGGTGGTCAGTTTTATGTGTCAACTTCAGTTCCTGGTTATTCAGTCCCACACCTCTGGGTGCTGCTGGGGGGGAGGTGGTTTTGCAGATGTGATGAAAGTGCATGATCAGTTGCCCCTCAGTAAGGTAGACTGTTTTAGATGACCTGGGTGGGCCTGGGTGGGTCAGCTGGGAGGCCTTGAGAGCCAGGCTGAGGCTTTGCTTTCCTGAGGAAGAAGAAACCCCACCTGTGGGCAGCAGCTCCCCTGCCCGCCCCTTGAGGTGAGCACCCTGCAGATGCTGGACCTGCCCAGCTGGCCCCACCACTGTGAAGCCCACCCTGGCAGTAAATCTCTTACGGTGTGTCTTCCACCAGCTCTGCATCTCTGCTAGAAACCTAACTGATTTAGCCACGTAACAGCTGTGTGACCTAGGGCAAGTTATTTACCCTCAGTTACCTTATCTGTAGAATGGGGTTAATAATAGTGCTTGCCTCTGTGCTCGCTAGGACTCTAATACAGTCCTTTAGATGGGGAAATACAGTTTCCACTACTGGTAACATCGTGTGGTACATTTGCTACAAGTGATGAACCAATATTGATGGATTAAGTCCATAGTCCTCTAGATGGGGACTGTATTTGTCCGTTCTCACACTGCTAATAAAGACATACCCGAGACTGGGTAATTTATAAAGAAAAGAGGTTTAATGGACTCACAGTTCTTCTTGAATTGTGAGGCTGGGGAGGCCTCACAATTATGGGAGAAGGTGAAGGAAGAGCAAAATCATGTCTTACATGGCGGCATGCAAGAGAGTGTGTGCAGGGGAACTCCCCTTATAAAACCGTCAGATCTCGTGAGATTTATTCACTATCACAAGAACAGAACAGGAAAAACTTGCCCCATGATTCAATTATCTCCGATCAGTTCCCTCCCTTGACACATGGGAATTATTGCCATTCAAGGTGAGAATTTGGGTGGGAACACAGAGCCAAACCATTTTGGAGATGAAGTGAGTTGGCACATGTCAGGCAGTGAGAATGACTGGCATGGAGTGGGTGTAACTATTGGGATTCCTGCTTTACCAAGGAAGAAACTGAGGCTAAGGAAGGGTCTGTGACTCACGTCATGGCACAGAAGTGGCCGAGTCGGTGTGGGATGCAGAGATCTGTTGTGGCACCTGCAGCCCTAATCATGCTCACACCCCCTCCACTAGCAGGCAATACCGATGGCATTCGTAGCCAGAAGGGTCTCAGATGACCTATATATTCAGTTCAAAGTCCCTGTCCTACAACAGAAGAAACCAAAGCTCAGGAAAGTGGTTGGCTCCTGAAATATTCAAAGCCTGGGACAGTAAGGTCAGGGTCATTGGGCTTCACAGGGCCAGGCAGGAGATGAAGCCAGAGGAGCCAAACTGCGGCTAGGCATGGCGGGCTGTGCCTGGTCAGCTGCCCACCCGGCCCTGGGTGTGACCCCAGCACTCACGTCCTCGCAGCTGGTGCACCTTGTCTTCCCCAGGACACTGGGAGCTTCCCAGGGGCTTTTAATGGAGACAACGGAGGACCCAGCAGCTACCTCTCTGCTTGGAGCAGCAGATTTTTCACATTCCTCCTTGACTTGGCACAGCCGGGACTCTGTCCCTTAAAAAAATTAATAAATCTGGCATTTGAAAATAAAAAAAAAAATCACAGGCTTCCTCTCCTGGACTCATTTCCTGTGGTGTTTCCCTGGCCTAATCGAAACCTGACAGGCTGCCGTGTGGAGGAAGCCAGACGCCCCTGCATCAGGGCAGAGTTCAGCGTGGAGAATGGTGTTTTTGTTCAGGGAAGCGGGAAGAGGTGACGGAGAGGGGGCTTCCCCCACTGAAATCTAAAAGCAAAGAGAAGGGCCAGGAGGCAAATGTTCTAGACGTAGCATTGGACTCCACCCCTGAGGCGGTGGATAATACCAGGGTGGCAGCACCCATAGATGGGCCACTTCCTGAGGGGTTCCTGTTCTCCTCCTCAGCTTGGAGGTACCATCAGAGCTCTTGAGGGAGAAGTGACTGTCCCCCACACACTCCTACCAGGGCAGACAGCAGCAAAGGAACAAGCTGATTCAAG